AAGAAAAAAGCACCTGCACACGCTGCACTCCTGTTCCAAAAAGAGTACTCTGAGTAAAGCCCCAGAGGATCCCAAAATGCCACCTGCTCCTCCCCGGGATGAGGCAGAAAAACGCCTCCAGTTGGTCAAATTCAATCACTAGTACAAAAAAAAAAATAATAATAAATGAAATGGTGAGATAATGAAAGCAGAGCAGCCCACCAGCGCCGGGGTTACAGCTGTTATTTATTTGCTCATTTGACAACAGCCACCGGTACAGTCACGCTCCCACGTAGCAGCACAGCGTTCAAGTTAAGGAGGCAGTAAAGTTTTAGGTACCACTTCTCTTTCTGAATTACATAAAATTCACCTTTGAAAAGCAAATAAAGAAATGGTGTGACACCAAATCCCGCTCATACGAGAGACCGGAGCCACACTGGCAACACCCAGGCGGTTCCTGACTCCGGCGTGGCGCCGCTTACCCACACACGCACCGGAACCAAAATCCTTCCAGTCCTGTTACCTTCAGCTGCGAAACATTGGTTTGAAAACAAAAATAACCTCTCGTACTCGAGCAGATCTGCAGCACGCAGCCGAGATGGAGAACCTCTGCGGCCTTTCCAGCAGAGGCAGGACCGGACAGAGGCGGCAGCATCGCTGAGCTCCCCCTGCCAGAACGGTCGCCCACTTGCCAGAAAACCCAGGTAATAAACCCATTACTCACAGCAAGGTACAAAGCAGCTGTCGTGGGTATGGGCAGCGAGGCATCCGCTGGAGGATCTCATTGCACAAAGCCGGTCAACGAATAAGTTCTCATTTTTTTTTGAGCCAGCAGGCAAGTCCCTTTTTCATTCGTGTGGCACTAGCGCAGGTAACACACAGATCACGCTCAGGAGCAGGAAGCAGGTACACGCCAACAGGTTTAAGAGCGAGAGGGTACAAGCAACAGTGCAATCTCTGAGGCAGCACCTGCCTCGAAAAGTTCCTGCAGTCCACGAGAGGGAAGGTCAGAGAGGAGAGGAAAAGCGCGCCGGCCCCTGCGGGCTGCTCCCAGAGCCCAGCCACCCCACACGCTTCAGGAACTAAGCCCTGAACCAACGGCGGCAGAGCAGGTCCGTCACCAAAAACTGGTTTTAGCAGAGCCAGAAGCTTTTAAGTAGCAGCACGGAAGAAAAGTTCAAATCTTCATCCGGCAACGTAGTTACTGCGGGGGGTCCCTGTGCTAAATGAAGGTGTCTCGGGCCCCGGCCCCACTGTCCGCATCAGGCTCCTACAACAGGAACGGGAGCTTTTTCCTAGTCCTCAGAGGTTTGACCCTTCCCCACGCCAGGCCCCGAGCCACGTACCAACACTGGTAAAACGATCGGCATGCGACACGCGTGACAGCTTGGAGAGCCAGCGACAGAAGGATAAATATTCTTCATCATAACATAAATATGCCGTAAAACTTCTCAACGAGGGCAAAGTGCTTATTTTTTTTTTCTGCTTAATTAAAACAAAACAGAAACCTAAAGACGAGCTGTCTCAACCACAACAGAAGGTTTGACTCCTAAAACATCTGAGTAATCTAAATTACATTTAAAACTGACATTAAAGTGATCCAGGCAGAGTGCTCAGTCCTTCGGGACTCGGAAGTTATCCTTCTCTTTTCTGATGGCGCCCATCGTTCGGATGGGGTCGGGCTCCCCGGCCGGCTG